TTGAAATGCATAGACAGTTCTAAATTTTTCTTGGGATGACTCGATCCTGCCCTTTATCTTGTTACTGATGACATGCCGCATAATAAAACTGCCGGTCTTTTATAAATTATAATAACTGCATGATTTCGCTAATGTGTTACCTATAAACACAGTTTTCTGTCACAAAAACTCTGGCCAAGCTAGACCGAGCACTTTCCGAAAGGCTGTATTGACTATCCTGATATTTGACATATTTATACAATGCCATATACAGATCAGCCTAATATTATACGGTACCTGGAAAAGCGGGGACAGTAGGACGTCCTCCTGTAGCAATAAGGATATGTTTGGCTTTATACACATGCTTCTTGTCAACAATCACGTTCCCTTCCGCAGTAAACGATGCATCACCTCGAATTACCTCAACTTCAGCCTGCAACAAATAATTATAATATTATAATGCCTATTTCTTCCTCAGGATTTTACAAATTTAATTTAAAAATATTTATAATGCGCTAAAACTATAAATATTCTAAAGGCAGCGCAATTTACAATAATAACATTATAAAATGACAATATCGTATCTATTACAGGAAAGTAAAAAATGTATCATAAAACTATTAACAACTACACAGGTATGTCAAAGGCTTTCTTAAACAAATAAGTCTTCAAATGTTTCTTCTCACATTAGAACATTCTCTATTTCTCTTATATTTATAGGTAAACTGTTCCAAACAATAGGTCCTGCAGCTTTGAAGAAAGTCCAGTGTCCAAAAGTCTTGCAAGCTGTTCTTGGGACCACAAGTAGGTTCTGCTTTCAATAAGGACTTTTCTTACTTTACATCAATGACTTACCAAATTGCTTAAGGTCTACAAAAGCATCAATGTTTGCAGATGACACTAATATATCCTGTGACGGAAAATTAGCAACTGACATTCAACAAAAAATTAACTCAGACTTGAACAGTGTTCATAATTGGCTATTAGCTAACAAACTAACTTTACGTGCTGAGAAAACAGAATATATGGTTGTTGGTTCGAGACAAAGGCTTAATCAAATAAATTCAGATCCTGACATATTAATAGGAGATCATATGATAAAGAGAGTTTCTAACAAAAAATTCCTAGGAGTGGTTCTTGACGAACAACTCAATTGGCATAACCATATAGATAATCAATGTGCAAAAATTTCAAAAAACATTGCACTTTTGAGAAGAGCAAAAAGTTTTCTGACAGAAAATGCCCTTATTACAATGTACAATTCACTAGTCCTACCACATTTCACTTACTGCTCAACAGTTTGGCACAACGGAAATATCACCCACATTGACAAATTAAGTAAATTACAAAAAAGAGCAGAACGTGTTATCACTAACTCAGGGTATGAAATAAGATCAACAGAGATCTTAAATAGATTGAATTGGGAGCCCATTGCAAATATCCTCGAACAACGTGAACAAACAATGACATTTAAAGCAATTAACAAAATGACACCAAATTATTTAACAGAAATGTTTACTATGTCCCAGAACGATAATTATGCATTGAGAAGTAACGAACGAAAACTTCACTTATCAAAACCAAACACTAACTTCCTTAAGAAAAGTTTTTCCTACCGCGCAGCAGTGTCATGGAATAAACTTCCAAACGAAATTCTCGAGGAACATGAGCATCTTTCATTGAATCAGTTCAAAAGGCTTATTAAAAATTGCTAAGATAGCGAAATTTTCCCGAAATTTTATCGAATGTTTACTTGCATTGTAAGGTCGTTTGCATGTTATACTTCAATTTGAATTAATGTTAGTGTGTTATACTTCAGGTTTAGATTTAGTTTTATATCTTTTTAATAGTTTTAGACCACGGCCCTTTGAAAAACAGGCAACTGAAAGGTTACCGTGGATAAATATGTTTAAATAATAATAATAATAAAAAGGAGAAGGTGCTGGTAGAAGAAAATGATAGATCAATGCATAACATTCCTTTCCGAATCTGTATTCATGAGTCAGAGACAATAGCACGAACTCTGGTCCACTAGGATCACATCTCCGTGCAGGTTTAAATTCAATCTAAAGTCTCGTATACACTTCATTAAGGGTCAGGAAAACTAGGTAAGAGTGTATTAAATGGAAGTTATATTGATCGGTGCAATAGACTATTAACTTTACCTTTATATATCTCAACATAATCTTCGTCAAGCAGTCCATGAACGACCTAAATGTATGCGTTGTATCGTGTGAGAGAGAGAGTAAAAATATCAGGTGTAATATTAAGAATTGTGTCGATCTGGTTATAGGGAGAATTTACTTAAAACATATTATAATGAAGTCAATTGCAAATAAATAAATACGGCCTTCCATGTAGCTATATAGTTCCACATATATATATATATATATATATATATATATATATATATATATATATATATATATATATATATATATATATATATATATATGGAGTTCACTGGTCTACCCTTTACTTTAATGATCAGAGCAGTTGAATCTACATTACTTACTAAGAACCCATTTCTATCAAAATCTTCTTTCCATTTTTCAACAGGTTGTGTCTTCAACCAGTCAACCAGGAATTCGTATTTTGGCCAGTCAACCAGAACGGATTCACAATCTGGATCAGTCATCCTTCAAAGGAAAATTATTATTAATTTCGAAGAAACAGCACAACAAATCTGCAAAATACCACAAAATTATAATTGCCCTAATATAGAGGAAACATATACAAAAATCACATACACATACATATTACAGAGCCAGAGGCTGACCAAAAAAGGCCCAGACCTCCATAAAACTTGCACCCCCGACTCTTCATAGTGAGGAAAGTGTTAGTAGATGATATATTTGTGTATTACATATTTTTATACATATTTTTGTAGCTATTCTTTAGCTGTAAATATCTGTAAATAAATATTAAGAATTAAAATTCAGTTATGATACAAAGCATATAATCTGTCTTTCACCGCGCGTTAATTAATACTAATATAGTATATTAAATTGCTGTAGTTTCCTATCATGTAATGCCAGTGTAATGGGCGGTATTTTACACTATATTACACTTTATTGCATATATTATCCGGCACTAACGCAGGATTTTAAACTTTTCTTGTATCAAGAAAATTTAAGGGACTTCGTTGCTTTGGAAGACTTGGAAGGCCCTTTTGAACTGTGGCCTGGGACAAAATGCCCTTGCAATTGTCCCAACCCCTCTCGACGGGCCGACGGCCCTGCTTTTGAATCAAGTCATATTGAATTCTTCGAACTCGCACCGCAGGATTTGCTTTCACAGATTTTTACTGATCTGGTGATTTCGTTTCGATCCGGGTTTTGAAAGCACGTGACAGACTCTTGCACTGTATACGAACTTTTCTCGCATCTCAATTAATCAGTTCTTCTACAGCACGTATAGATAAACAGAATTAAACTCTGCATATTGAAAACGTTTTACACGAGAGAATATAACAACGAAAATGCATCTTCTGGTCTTGCGGTTCCGCTTATGATTGTTTCGGTCAATTCGTTTCGGTTGTTCCGGTTAGCACGTGACGCGCTAGTAATATAATATTACTGTGGTTTGTCCAATCTACTCCATTTCAGATAGTTAATTCAGACAACAAGACTACCTATACTGAACTCCCCACATTGGAGATGTTGACCAATTCCATAAATTGAATGGATCAAGAGATATCGAGCATCGAGAAATAAGAATAAAAAACATTCATCTGTATTAAATCTGGTATTGTTTGTATTTAAGTTTCATGTGGACCCCTTTTTCAATTTGACACTTGACCTTTACTGGAAAAGTTGACTTCATATTTAAAGTTACATCGATCTACCGCATGCATTTTGTTCCAGTTCTTACTGCACTTATCTTGCCAGCGTTAGGGAGTGGACCAGGGCCAGGGAGTGGACCAGGGCCCTGGAGTGGACTGATTAAGTTCCAACGCAGTTTACCGGCAGCGTCAAAAATGTCAACAGAGTAGACGTTCTATTTATTTCCTTTCCTGTGCTATGACCTGCCATAAAATTCTACCAAAATAAATATGACTCTTTCATACTATGCACAACTGTATTATAAAATTCATCCAAATTAAATTTTGTGTAAATTAAATGCGACAATGGTTCGCAAACCAAGGAACCGCGAATGAATTACGCAATCATTTAATTTATATGCCTATATTCAATGTAATGAGAATGTCACTGAGTGGCTATGTTGTAAATAAGAAAAACAACTTACTTGTCCTTGCCCGAGGTTTAAATCGAGGTTTAAATCTTAAATTTGTTTTAAATTAAATAGTTTGCGCTGAATATATGCCAAGTGATGCCGAATGCCTTTCTAAAAAACTTCCGGTTTTATACGCATCAAGTTTTGCATTAGATACTTCATGTTAGCTTGGATTACAAAATTCCACGCATTTTCATTGTCGGATTGAAATAGTTACAAACAAAGATTCTTGGTCCGAAGAATAGGGTGTTAATGGGGATCTTTGAAAGGATAAGTCATAAAGTTGTCAGCTACAAGGGCCATCTATCACTAAGACCCTATAAGATTCAGTAAGATCTGGATGGTACAAATTTCACGTGAAAGATGCATGCGCATAGGAACACTGGAACATGCACAGGCTTTCCAAGATCCACCATTTCGTCTTATAACCTCGTCACTTCGATAGCCTTTCAAGAAACAGTTTAGGGAAAACGAAACTTTGCTCCCAGAGAAAGAGGCCCTTTCAGTATGTTTGGAAACAGAAAGGTAGAGGAACGTAAATTTTGGGGCTGTGGAAGCATGCAGCACGTAATCGAAACAATACAAGCAAGCGTTGTTGGTGATCTTTCCAAGGCCGGGGAGAGCCAACCACGGGCCCCGGGACAAAATGACGATTGGTGAACACGAGTCCCCTGTCCCTCTCGACTCTCCCGCTGGCTATTTTTAATCGCAATCAACGAGAAAATTGCCAGCGAATTACATGCAAGAAATCGCCGCATAACTGATACAACGCAATGTGAGCAATGTTCAGCTGTTTTTGCTGAAAAAACGATAAAAAATCGTTAATTTCACATTTGGTACGTTTTACGATCGATCACGACGATCAGCGGATAGTGTGCAAGTAGGCGTATTTCATTTAGGACAACTGGACAAATATAAAGCTGGATGATAAACGATACGAACATTTCACCGAGATTTCCGGGCTCCTCTGAGCACTCCGGGCCCCAGGTATTTTGCCACTCCCCCCCCCCCCTCTCGCTGGTCTTGGATCTTTCAAATTTAGTGAGAAGACGAAGAAAAAGACACAGGTTGAATAATCAACATCAACAACAAATGTTCGCAATGCACTAAGATTATTACCGAGAAGTAAGCAACTAACCAACCTGATATTAGCGCCTGTTGCGGAGGCTGATAGGCTTTCACTTTTTAAAAGTAGATTCAAAGAGCATATGGACATGTGCTCTAGTCTTATAGGAACTGATGTTTGATAAATATTTTTTAACGTAGATTTAGTGTAGGTAAGGGGAACTACTCGAATAGGGTCAACCTCATGGTTCTACTGCAAGACATTGATATTACAATATCCAAGCCAGTTATAGAGTAGTGCAATATTCAATTAATATTAATGCGCTAAACATTACGCTCATTAAACAATGATTTCTGCCACGCATTGGCTTTTATGCCGTAGGATAGTGCCTGCGCGCAGAACATATTAGTTGGAAACGAAAAATAAGGAACTAGCAAAGCCCGAACACAGTGACTGACTGCTAGCATGCTGAAAGATAGAAATCTGTTCCAAAGTAGAACATTTTCTTAAAACAAGAATTTAATGTTTGCACTGAAAGTCTACAATTATGAACGTTGCTCACTTAAGTCTAAATTTATAATGTTTGCGCAACAAAAAAGTTAATAAATTTCTAATTTACCTGTTTATCTATTTATGTCCCATTTGGTTTCGTTACAAAGTTATATTTTAGCATATATATGTGGATTTCACCAAGCACTATCAAGCATGCAACAGATAGTGAAACCAATGTATATCAGTAAATTTTAAACTACGCGGCACATCTACTATGTGCTATATAGTGTTATTTTATAATAATATAAGTCCTTTTAAAATCTTTAAAAAAAATCAGTTCTTCCACCAATTGCCAACATTGACTCCGAAATAATACAAATGATCATTAATACAATTCTTGAATCCAGACGTAAAACACTTGGACCAGACTGAAGGATTGTTGCTGCATCCGAGGTCCTCGTTATGTGGCAATCCTTGACACTTTTTATAAGACGATGTCTTCGTCATCACCGCGTTGCCATAGTAAATCTCCTTCCCATGATGATAGGGCCCCCCTGTATAAGCAATACATGGCGTCCCAGGTAGCAATGTTTTACAGGTTGGCAGGTGAACTACAAGATCTCGGTAATGGTTAACTCTGAAGCTAATTGGGACCAGTCTGTCGTGTTGTAAGGCGTACTTGTAATCCCCAACTCTAGGTTGACCAAACGTGTACAAGAACAGGTTGTTTTTAGGTGTGCGTCGCTCGTACAGTAGAACTGTGCTTGACAAAGATGCTATTGCTCCACCAAGAGAGTGGCCAGTAACCCATACTTTGTAGTTGCGGTACCTTAACACAAAAATGCACGAAACTTTACGTACCATTGACTAGTGTTACAACAGGGGGAAACTACCTGGAGAAAACCCGTGGTGTTTGGTGGAGTCAAACTGGAAGCGCTGCTCTGACATGCGCAATAATTAAATTATATATAACTGCCATAATTTGGTTTCAGAGGTGAAAGTCGCATACACATATAATATTCTGGAAGCCCTGCAAAGAATAGAAGGCCTTTGTTGATGTTGAATTTGTACCTCACCGCGCACAAATCCTTTGTCATTAAATCTTCATCGTTGTTGGACGGTTACTTAAAATACCGAATGAGCTCAATCAAGACAATCATTGTTTTATACCGACATCGTTTTATACAAAAGACGTGAATGTTGAAGGGTTTTTGTAATTATAATTATTAAATACATTTTTACACCTGACAGGTGCATCCGCGAGATATGTAACCGGAGGGTCTATGGTTGTATTTTACCAGCTTCTTCCAGTCTAAAAATGTGTAATTTTCGCTAAGAACATAAGAACATTTAGTCCTATTTAGCGAGATGCCCCAAATATTGAAATAAATATAACTGACACGCTACCATTCTCGTACCCAGAGCCCTTCTTACGCGCGTTCGACCGAGCGCGACGAGGGGCTCTGGCCAAATCCATAACTGGATACCATAAAAACATGGTAAGAAAACAATATCCAGTGTTAGAACTAGCCAATTAGATGCCAGTTCGGATATGGATTTGGCCAGAGCCACTCATCGCACCGCGCGTAAGAAGGGCTCTGGGTACGAGAATGAAACGCTACCTCCAACCAACCTCGTACCCAGGGATTCTGCGCTTATCGCAGAAGCCCTAGGTACAAAGTTGCCTCCAACCGGAAATTTTACGCAAAACTTGAAGGCCAGTCCCAGTCTTTTCGCGCGTGCGAAGAGCTCTCAATCAGTCAATCATGATATAAACACGCATGTCAACGCACGTCTTGATTTGGCTTCAAGAAAAAGATAAGCACTTTGTCTGAAGGTAGCGTACGAGTTATATTCATTTCAAAGCCCTAGCTAAATCGTAAATTACAAAAGCCTACCTTCTTATCTCTCTATAAACATAATTCTTGAGATCATTCCAAATCAGAACAAATGCATCGTTGAAATATTTCTGAACCTTTCCACCAGCCTGGAAACGTACTTTAGGGACAGTTAATATCTTCAGTGCTTGTACTTTGATTTGATTGAAATGTTCAGAGCCTCTGAATGCAACAGCAATTGCGCGTTCGGTATGGGAAACTGCAACGAATCCCGAACATTTTGCATTTCCTTCACAAGGCTTTGTGACCTGTCTAACCAGACGGAAGCTAGCCACCTAAATATGATATTGAACGAAATGCTCATGTACGGTACAGGATAACTTTATCAGTTCTAAACTGTTCTTCCTAGAGGTGCAGTTCTAAACTGTTCTTCCTACTAGGTGCAGTTCTAAACTGTTCTTCCTTGAGGAGTCTAACTCAATAACTCTATGTAAACAGGATATAGAATCTATCAGTTTTAAACTGTTCTCCCTTGACGTGCAGTAAGAACCGTCTCTTGTTGATCCAGTGTTACTACAGGAGGAAACCCAACTTAAAAATCATGGGGCGCAGTAAGGATAATTCCTAACGGTGGTCCAATATCACCTCAGAGATCTAGAGGACTGGAAACAGAATGAGCAGTCGAGCAGATCCAATACTAAGTTGTAACGAAAAGAACAAACTTCCAAATATCCGAATTCTCTACTTCTCTGAACTTATATTAGGTTGTTAGTTTTGTTGTCAGCATGCAGTGTCGTGTAGCCAATGATGGTCAACCGACATATTTCATATCAGCACTGTGAGAAACTGACTAGTTTTCTTCTTCCTATAAGAGTCAATAGCTCTGAAATTGCCCACCGTCTGCTGCCTTGTAACGCTGACTGAAAACATGGATAGTTGAAAGAGTGCTTTTATTACCCATGGTGAAACCCAACCAACCTACCTCTGTTGCTCTTGGTATTTTCTTAGCGACATTATCAGCGTACGCCAACGCAGAGAGATAAACCATTTTGAATGCCAATGAGCTGTCATAATTTGGAGTAACAATACTATTGCAAGCACTCGCACTTACAACATTTTCTGACCTTGAGCAAGGGTTGGTGAAGACTGCGCCGTGCGCGTGACATTTTTTATCTCTTGGGCACCAACGACATGGCTGTCCTGACCAGCTCTTATGATTTGTACATGAAACGCAATTTCGCTTCGAGTCGCACCGGGTTATTCTAATCGAAATGCGTCTTCTAGATCTTCTGCGGCTAAATAACCACGCATCATTGAACGCAACTAGGCAAAGTAGGAGAAAGCATAGCCAAGACACCGAAAAAGCCATGTTGATTATTATACTGACTTGTCTGTTTGCGCTGCTGCGATTGAGGAAGTTACTGCTGAAACGCGTTTCAACTAGAAGGAATTAAAAATGCGTCATGCATCGTTATTCCATCCGGTCTATCATGTTTTTAAGTAATTCGATAGTGAGTTCAAAGATCGCCTTTGATAGCTATTGAATGTGCACACTACTGCTTGTGTATGCTAGCTCACTGAGCATAGTCTAAGAACAGTTTAAATAAGAAGAGTTTAAAAAGTCCTGCCGTGAGGGGGCTGAAACTCCGCGCAAGTTCTTACTCCAGATATATATATATAGAGAGGTCACTGTTTCATACAGGACTGGGAACGAACGGTATTTCCATTTGTTTGTATACAAAGCAAAATTAGAAAATATAATATGCACAAAAAGCAAAGCAAAGAAATTTCTAAGCAAAATTTCATAAACAGTTTATTAATAAATTCACTGAATGTAAAACAACACTGTTAACATATATTTGTCTATCATCTTTGAGCACGGGACGTGATTATCAGATTCCAACAGTGGATTGACTTGAATTCCAATGGTATAGTTTGTTGACGACATTTACAGAATATCATCTGGGAAAATCAATATTTGTGTTGTTCTTGTAAGTGTATAAATGTATTTAACAGTGTGTTTCATTAAAGTGTTAAATGATGGTTTAATACATTTTCAGTAAAAGCGAGATTTTTCTGACTAATACAGCGAATGTTATTGTGTGCACCTATTATAAAATGTATCAAATGGATATATTTAATGGCCCATTTATTATATGATGTGATTGTCAGACTCGTTCTGGCTTATTCATTAGTCAATTAATGTTGTAATTTGAAATGCAACATGTCTGTGTTTGATTTTATTACATGCGGCTAAATCGAGGAATGCACACATTTGCCCGACGCCATCTTGAATCATTATTAACTGGGGACATCCATGGTTATGTTATGATAATAATGAATTAGTAAAATGGTTATCCATTAAAGTGCTCCGGCCTGTATCTACGGTGGCCGACAAGGGCAAAACAAATATTTAGATGAAACACAAAAATATAGATAGAACAATTAAGCGAACATGTTTATTAAGCGAACACGTTTATTAAGCGAACTCGTTTATTAAGCGAACACGTTTATTAAGCGAACACGTTTATTAAGCGAACATGTTATCAAGCAAACACGTTTATTAAGCGAACATGTTTATTAAGCGAACACGTTTATTAAGCGTATGCATTTATTAAGCGAACATGTTTATTAAGCGAACACAAATATTTTTTAACAACCCGAATACCGGAAATGGAAGGCCTAAATCCTGATTTTAGGGAGTATCTGTCAACTGATTGTCTTGGTCTCCTGTGTCATAATATGGATGGCGAAAGTTCATGGTCGAGTAAATTTTGTCATTGTTGTGGAAATGCTCTTGAAAAAGGTTACAATAATTGTCCAAAATGCAGGCAAGAGGTTTTAAAGTGGTTAATTAACAAATTATTCTGGCACCCAACCCCCTGGTTCTGAAGCACTTAAACAAGTTATCGTTCCATGTTTCGCGTAGTAAACGTCATGTAATGGATAGTGTACTGCAAAGTCAACTGGGTCATAGCTATACAACACTATACAACACTATACGACACTATACAAGACTATATGACACTATACCACGCTATACGGCACTATTTACCACGCTATACAACACTATACAACAGTATACAACACTATACAAGACTATACGACACTATACAACACTATACCACACTATACATGACTATACAACACTACACAACACTATACAACACTATACAGGGTGAGTAAAAAAACTGACACCTTTATTGTTATTCAAATTAGCCGCGAAGGTATATCAGTTTTTTTACTCACCCTGTACAATACTATACGACACTTTACCATGTTGTATAGTGTGGTAGTGTTGTATACAGGGCCGGAGCTATGTGTGTGTGTGTGTGTGTGTGTGTGTGTGGGGGGGGG